CAAATCATCAGTATGAAATAAGAGTGTTTGTCTTTTCTACCTGCTGTAGCAAAAGTGCATACATCTGATTCAGCTTAAAACTTTAAGCTATACTTTCAGAGGGGGAGGGAGGATGGGCTGAGAACAGTTTAACTCTGTTTAACTTTGAATTAAATTTGTCAAAGTATGTTTTTTACTAACATTGAACTTTAGCTGCTGTTTATTGTATATATGATACAGGAAAATAACCTGTATGCATTGCATGCCTGGGTTTTTTATTGGTTTGGGTATTTTTGTTTGTTTGTTTTTGCTTTCTTTTGAATTAGTACAAAAACCTGAGGATTTTTACTAGAAACCCCGTATCTTGATGAGGCAGACTTATTTTATCTGAAACCTGCTTAACCTTTGGGCAGCTTTTTAGTTTGGAAAGTTAGGTTATACCATTTGTCCGGAAAATAATTAGCATCAGTCCATAAATCTGGGACATAAAATGTTTCCCTTTGGAGGATGTAAAAGACTATTTTTAAAGGCATTCCAAGTGGGCTGTTCCTATATAGTTTACAGAGGTTCTCAGTTCATGAACTTATTGCAGCAGGCAAATCATAAATAGTTCTTATGTCCAAAAAGAACATGATTTTCAAATATACATTTATCTCAGAAATTCTAGTGCTTCTTTGTCTTTATCTTCCAGGAAAGACATAGTTCAGTTCAAATTATTGTTTAAAAGTTTCTGTTTTGTTTTTTACCTTTTACCTTTTGAGCATATGAGTTATCCTGGGTTTCGTTGTCTAATATGATAGTATTTTAAATGTTTTAAGCAATTTAATGCTTACAAAATTTTTTCCTGGTTTTTAAAATTTCCGCTTTATAATAAGAAGTGACTTTAATTAATTGCTTTTCTCCTCCATTTCAGAACTGGGTAGGCTAACATTTTACTGCATAAATGAATAACTGCCATTTTTCTCTTACTGCTATATATTTGTTTCATCTCTAATTAGACTTACAGCTCAACTAAATCGTATTTAATTTGCATGCAGTACTCTACCAATTACTGTTAGTGCTTATAAGATGCTGGGCCCTGCTTGTCAACGTGATTGAACTCTGAAATAATAAATAACTTGCCTGATCCAACACAGGAGAACCAGGATTCAAACCCTGGGATGCCGTGCTTCAAACAGCCGTCTTTCAGCCATTTTATATACTCTCTTTCAGCTATACCAAGGATACTGTTTGAACTTATAGATCATGAGGCATTAATTAAAACTTAAGTTATAGCCAGGTTTGGTGGCTCACGCCTGTAATCCCAACACTTTGGGAGGCTGAGGCACGTGGATCACCTGAGGTCAGTAGTTCAAGACCAGCCTGGCCCACATGGCAAAACCCCATCTCTACTAAAAATACAAAACTTAGCCAAGTGTGGTGGCTTGCACCTGTAGTCCCAGCTGCTCGGGAGGCTAAGGCAGGAGAATTGCTTGAACCTGTGGATGGAGGTTGCAGTGAACCGAGATTGTGCCACTGATGCCCAATGGATGGCCAGATGCCATATTTTTCCCTGTTACTTTTTTTTTTTTTTTTTTGAGATGGAACCTTGCTCTGTCACCCAGTCTAGTGTACAGTGGCGCGATCTCGGCTCACTGCAACTCTGCTTCCCGAGTTCAAGCTATTCTCCTGCCTCAGCCTGCCGAGTAGCTGGGACTACAGGCGCGTGCCACCACACCCGACTAATTTTTGTATTTTTAGTAGGGACGGGGTTTCGCCATGTTGGCCGGGCTGGTCTCGAACTCCTGACCTCAGGTGATCCATCCGTTTCAGCCTCCCAAAGTGCTGGGATTACAGGCATAAACCACTGTGCCCAGCCTCCCCTGTTACTTTTTAAATCACTTATAAAATGAAAGAAAGAAAGGTTCAGAGAAACTCTTAAATGGTGAATATCCTGTCTTTTTTATATCAGCATAAGATGTTGTTTTCTTGCTCAAGTATTTCTAATATAGGTATTTTCAAGCCTTATGTTATAAGTTGTTGATTTGTGATCATGGATTTTAGGAATTATGGACAAGACAATAAAAAACTAGAACTGTAAAGATCAAGTCCAGTGCTCCCAGATAGGAAGACGTGGTAGAAAAATTGACCTAGCACAACTCATTTGAAAGACAATGTTGTGCCTAAGTTGTCATAATCTTGGGAAAATAGGAATTCAAACTGTGTATTGCTAAATAGTGTACAGATCAGTGATTGAAAAATATCTCTCGGTATAAGGACACAAGGGCCACTTTTATATTTACTGCTCTTATTTTTAAATTTTCATTTTATTAGACCACTAGCTAGTATAGTTTTTCTGTTACTTTCATTGAATTCCCCTGAGATAGCTAAAATTATTGTTCATAGTGATAATCTTTTATCATAGAACCAAGAACACTTGTTTGTACAAACGTCAGAAGTCCTAAAGATTACCACTACAATAAGAGTGTAAATAAAGTCTAATTCTGCTTTTTAAAGTTATCAGAAGTTCTTATAAAGGCATTAGTTTAGAAAAATCTTAGTGTTTATTACTTTGCAAAAGGTTATAAAAATATCTTAGTATTTGAAGTCAGGTTTTCATTTGTACATGCATTTCCCAATTTATAAATTCATCCTTTGAAGTTTGTTAGAGGGCAACATGTGTTTTTTTCCTACATTTTTTCATAGAAATTGAATTATGCTTTAAATAATTAATGCCATAATGTATTAGAAAATGTATTAGATAGTGGTTCCCAGATTTATTCATTTTTTAAAAACCTACAAACCCCACTATACAACTTAATTCTGATAGTAAAAGTGTGTGGGGCTATAAAAGATTTTATTTTGTAATTAGAAATTGACAAATGTGAGTCAGGTATGGTGGTATGTGCCTGTAATCCTAGCTACTTGAGAGGCTGAAGCCAGAGGATCGCTTGAACCCAGGAGTTTGAGGCCAGCCCAGGCAACATTGCCAGACCCCGTCTGTATTAAAATAAATAAATAAAAGTAAATTTAAAAGTTTAACATTTGGAAGAATGAAATACTATTAAAATATCTATCAGTTATTTAAGACATAAATATGAAGACATTGCACATATTTTATGTTAACATATGTTGGGTTTTCTGCTAATTATATTGCTATCTTGGGTACCAATATTTTTTAAATATACACTTAAAATTTTCGGCTGCTGGATACCTATTTTTCTATAGAATACATGGAATTATCTTTGTTATCTTTGTATTTTGTTTGTTAGCTCACTTTAATTCTGTGGTACTTTACCTTTTAAGATTCCTTAACTATTTAGCTGATAATTTAAATATCTACCATGGTATTTTGCATATAACTTAAAATATTTTTGATATTTATGGGCTCAAAGATTTTAAAGCTAAAATTCACTTCTGCATCATTCTTTCAATTGCATGTATTGAATGACGTATTAAGTGTTATGGTAGTCTGAAATAAGCATTCTGACATTTTCTGTTTGCCTAGCAAAGCACAGTTTGAAGAGTATGATTTTACATCTTAAGCTACTATTAGGTACATGGAGATGAGAGCTGGAATCATATGCCTGTACAATATTTATCAAATATGCATATATATTTCTACCTAATACTTTCTTTTAAGCTTTATTCAGAATTAGGGTACTTTATGTTCTCTATTATAGTAAGACTTCTTAATTATTTTTCATGGTTTCCTGCAGTGTTAGATTACTTAAAATATTACAAATTTATAAGACAGAGGGAGATAGACTGTTAATTATTAGAAAGTCTAATTAAAGCAGTAGAACCTTACTCATTACTGCTTGTCCTGCCACATAATTTTCTTGATTTATTTTAAAGCCCAGGTAAATGTTGATTTAAAATGGAAGGTTTAAACCTGTTACCATCTGATAATAGTTTTAGATATCTTTCTGTTATTACTTATAAAATTGTAATGTGTAAAACCTGGGTATAATAGTTGGAATAGCAGGGGTTTTTTACTTTCTAATAGTGGATTCTGGTTTAATAAATTTTACTTCTATAACTTAAAATATTTTTATCTTCATATAAGTAAATATAATTCTAAGAAACAATATCTGCCACAAGTAATCATTTTCCTTAGGTAGTTTATGAATGGAATATCAGTTTACACCAAGCACTGAATAAGTTAAATATCCTTTTAATGCTGATTCCAAGGGTCTAGGAACCCTCATAATTCATCAGCAGAATTATTTGTGTTTACCCAAATTTTATAACTAGAGATAATATGTATAAATCTGGAACTACTTATATCTATTTTTTTATTATAACAAACTAAGATTTCAGTGTCAAACTATACTGTACCTTTTATTATCACAATAACTAGGTTTTAATCCACTTACGAACTTAGAGGTCTATCAAGAACACAGATGCCCATATATCATAAAAAATTAAATAGATGAATCATGTCTTTGGACACTCTGAGCCAAACCATTTCCTTCAGCAACTAAACATAATTTTTCTTAACATGACACTTACGAAGGAATTGTGTTCGAGTTTATAATATACAAACTATTAAGAGCTATAATAAGGATTTTTGGACAATTCCAATTTTAAACTGAGGTTTAGCGATTTAAATTGGGATTTAGTGATTCAAAGACCTTATCATTAACCCAGCACATACCTGTCCCGGAAGTATCCTAGTTATTGCTTTAAGGAAAAAAAGTATCAATGTAGAAAAGTTAAGGTATAGACCTATTCATTGTAATTTATAGATAATATATTCAGAATCTATAAATATCACTAACTTGAATGACTTTTTAAATGATTTTATTAGATAGCTTAGGAGGGAGAAAAATGGCTTCCAAAAAATATTTTTTTCTCTTTAAAACTGATGATCAACCATAGAAAATGATGTAAAACAAGGGACCGTGTACTTGCCGTATCTTTAAATAGTCCAAGTTCATCTTTTATTTCAACAAAAATAAAGATTAAATGAGTGCCCATTCTCTAATAGTATATCATAGTTCTGTGGTTTGATGGCACAAACAAAGTGAAATACTTACCAAACATTATTGTCAAGAGGGCAATTGGCATCACAAACAATCCAACCAGCAAATCAGCCACCGCCAAGGACATTAGAAAGTAATTAGTAGCATACTGCAGCTTTTTCTCCAGCGAAACAGCCAGAATAACAAGGGTATTTCCACCAATTGTGGGTATTATCACCATGAGTATCAGAAGAGCTGCCCAGTGCAGTTTATTTCCCTGTTCCTCAACAATCTGTTTCATTTCCTCTGGTATTGATTCTGTCTGTAATCCAGACCAGTTAGAAGAGATAACGTGAACAAAGGTGCTCTGCAAAATGTGCTCAGGCATTGTGCTTTGAAGTTCAGACACTCTGTAAGAGAGAGCCATTTGCTGTTTTTCTGTGATTCAATCCCGTTCCGAACAGTGGTCAGCATGGTTAGTAGCTAAACTGGTCATCTGTTTTTTTAAGGCATTGTACCCATGTCAAACACTCGAAAGCCACAGTTGACACATTCCTTTAAAAAAAAAAATCCAAGTTCTCTAAAATGAGCTTATATACACATCTGTCCATGTTTGTAGGTAAGATCTCCAAGTATTTATTATTTTCTAAAGGCTTAAATTTAGAAGAGCTCAGTAAAAAGAAACTGATAGCTGTGAAAAAAAATAGGATATATATATATATATTTAGTTTCTCTCTCTTTTTCTACCGTAGTTGTAGAGTCATGTTTGAACTTGCATGCCAGAGAGTTCCCCCTAGATACAAAATGCATAGATTGCATTATTTTATTCATTTCTGAAAGTGGTAAAAACTCTTGAACTTTATAGCCCTTCCCTTAGTAAGTCTGTTGTGCATTTGTGACAATGCAGCCAGTTCTCCAAGTATACTATATTTCTGATATTCCTCAGTTAATGAAACAGAAGACACATTAATTTTTTCAATGGTTGTAATAAAAAGTTAGGTGTTTCCTGACCCTTCAATGTCTTTTTACCTTTACTTACAGAAGAATAGAAAAGTCGAAACACAATAGTTCAGAATAGAACTTTTAGTATGTGCTGACCACCCACCTGGAAACACTCCAAGCCCAACAAGGGTCTAAATGAATTATTTACCAGCTAGGAATCCTTATATGTAATTGGCTTTGTCTGACTAGGTTTGTAAGTACTAATATAAATGTCATTTTAGATTTCCTTTATTTTGAGAGAAGGAGAATAAATAGATATTACTAGGATCCATATAATTGTTTTTAGTAATTTCATCTCTCATGGTGTATTTTTGCAACATTTGTGTTCTAAATTTAATCACTAAATTTGCCAAATTCAAACCAATTTTTTTTGTTGTTGTTTTAAGTAGTGTTTTTTTGTTTTAACCTTCCCCGTTGCCTTGAGAAGAAAGGGAAACCAAAAGGAAAATTAAACCATTTATTTGTTCATCAAATGTACAAATCACATTTTAAAAAACTCTCCTTTAGCATTACTAAATTTTTCATTTTGATTTTTAAACCGCTGAATAGAAATGAAAGTTTATGATAGCAGAATTCTTGAAGATTTAAAAAAAAAAAAAACCTTTAGATTAATTCCATATGTGTTTGTTAAATGCTTACCTCTGGTTTCGTTGTTATTTTACCGAGCATGTCATCTTACGTGTTCACTGGACTTGCTTGCTGCTGTGACTGAAATCCTCCTCCCATTGACTTATTCTGAGCCTCCAGCACAGGCGGTTGAAAGCAGTGAAACAAATATGTTGGATAGCTGCAAGCATGCCAAGGAGGTTATTTCCTCTTTGATACATTCATTTTTAGAGAGTAGCAGCATTCATTGTAATTCTTAAATCACTGTTAAGCATGTTGAACCAGTTCATGGCCCTTATTCAAGTTATGTTTTTAAGAGCTCTCTTTAATGTTTGGGGGACTGTAATAAACTTGATCATTTTAGCTTCAGATAGTTTTGTTTGGGATTACGCCTGAGCTGTTTTTCCCATTTGAGAAAAAATAAGATATAATCTAGCTATTGTAGAGGTTTCATTCTATGAAGATTCTGCCCTTTTAAAAGCCTATAGTGATTTCTGCAGTTTCTGTTTCTAGCAGTGAAACAAGATTCTTATCTAGCTTTTGTGCCTTTGCTGTGGAACACCATTAATTTGCTCTGGTTGCAACCTTATATAGAAGAGCACAGAAAGGCCTGAATTCTACATGTATACATAGGTTTTAGCAGAAACTTTTTTACTGCTTATTTTTAAACAGATGATCTCTGGGTTTAGGAGTGGTTCACAGCTTTTTTTCCCCGTAGATTTTACATTGAAGAAAATATAAGTAATGAAAATACTTTTTTGCCTTATTTCAGAAAATTGGTGTTTAAATCTTAATAGTTATGCTATTTAAGTTTTCTCTAAGACTAGCTTAATATTAGAACTTCAGCATTCTCAAAGTTTCCTTTTAAAATATCATTACAGATGCATATTTTTAATTAATTACTTATAAATCAGTGATGGCATTTGTGCCCTTGTTTCAAATTTGTATTCCTTTGCTCATGTTGAATGTTATTGGAAAATACTTAGTTCATTTTAGCTCTGCTGAGCACTTCAGATTTTATTCAGTATTTGCTGCTTTTTTAAAAACTCAAAATTTACTATATTAGAAAAAATACTTGTGAAGAATTCTAGATGAAATAATACTCAATAGAAATCAGATGTTTGTTAATGTACCAGAATTTCTATTCAGGAATATGAAAATATTTTAAGGCAAGGCACGGTGGCTCGTGCCTGTAATCCCAGCTCTTTGGGAGACCAAGACAGGTGGATTGCTTGAGTCTAGGAGTTAGAGACCAGCTTAGGCAACATGGCAAAACTCCATCTCTACAAAAAAAAAAAAAAACACAAAAATTAACCAGGTGTGGTGGTGCACACCTATAGTCCCAGCTACTGGGTGGCAGTGGAGGAGTTGGGGGTTGGGGGTTGAGGGTCGGGGGAGACCTGAGGCGGGAGGATTTCATGAACCTGGGGTAGGTCAAGGTTGCAGTGAGCCAAGATTGCACCACTGCGCTCCAGCTTGGGGTGACAGAATGAGATCTTGTCTCTAAGATAAAAAAAGGAAAGAAAGGAAAATATTTTTAAATACTGCTTAGTTGTGAGTTACACTTTGATATCTGTGCTTATGAAGGCAGATAGGGATCTGCAAAACAAGTAATGTCAGATTGAAAATAGCAGCACCATTATATCCAGTGAAAAAACTTGTATGAAATAAGCCTTTATTGATTTGTTTATAGATAAAATTTTTAAAATATTAAGTATATTATAAAAATGCAGTCATTATTGTATTTGCTGGTATTAATCCTTTTACTCACATTCATTCATTTTTTGCCTCAACTTATAAAAGTAAGATTGGTACTTGGATTTTTTTTAATTTTGTGTTTTTAAGTCTGTTTAATGCCTAAGGAACATAACTAGTTAGAACAGCTACTTATTTGGCAATCTCAAGTTATGGGAAGCGTAGCTGAGAATCAAGAAAAAAGCAGAATAATAATAAATACATAGTTATATAAAAGGATAGTTGAGTCTCAGCAAATAACTGAACCTGTGCTTTAAAACCCTAAGTACTTTAAGTAGAAAGTAGCCTCTAAGTCCCCACTCCATCTTTTCACTCTCCGCACACACACGCGCACAGACGTATACACACACACAAAACTGCCTCTCCCCCTCTTTAATGAAAATAACATTTGTACATGGTGGTAAATGTAGATAGTACAAAAGAATGTTGAGTGATAAATTCGCTTGAGACAATTTTAATAAACATGTTTCCCTGCCTACTCCAGATGTGAGTAACAAGTTAAAAGGTGGACAAGCACTTTGATAATAGCAAATAGGGTCAACTGAAACAACAACAACAACCCCCCCCCCAAAAAAAAAAAAAAACAAGAATTTAAATGTATAAACATGTAGGTCTACTCAAAGTAGATGCTTGTAGTTTTTTTTTTTTTTTTTTTTTTTTTTTAGACAGAGTCTTGCTCTGTTGCTCAGGCTGGAGTGCAGTGGCACAGTTCAGCTCACTGCAACCTCTGCCTCCCAGGTTCAAGCATTCTCCTGCCTCAGCCTCCCAAGTAACGGATTACAGGCACCTGCCACCAGGCCTGGCTAATTTTTGTATTTTAAGTAGAGATGGGATTTCGCCATGTTGGCCAGGCTGGTCTCGAACTCCTGACCTCCTGACCTCAAGTGATCACCTGCCTCGGCCTCCCAAAGTGCTAAGATTACGGGCATGAGCCACTGCACCCCACGCCCTTTGACAACATTTTATGTGGCGTAGTGATGGATAGCATAGTGATGACCTCTGTGTACTTAAGAAAAGGCTAGATCACGTTCACTCAGCTGTGTTTTGGGTGCCAATAAATGGTGAAATGAATTTTTTAAAGATTTCTATCCAAATAATAATAAACATGAAAGTATGAGTCTTAATGGTAGAGTGAAGTTTTTAATATCTGGAAATTTCGTTTGTGTAGAGTATTTCCTTTCCCAAAAACTTCAGATAAAGTAACTCTTACTAAAATAACTTCAAGCTCAGACTCAGCCTCTAATCTAGCAATAACCAAAAAAACCTAATCGGCTCGATTTTTTCTAAGACAATTGAATTTTCTCCCTGATGCCTTTTTAATTTATTGAGCAGATTCTGTCTTTGACCGAAAAGGGCAGTCTAATATCCTTTATAGGTCTAGGAAGACAGCTTAAATATCAGCCAAGATCCCCCATTTTTTTTACCTCTCAGTCATAATCCCTATTAAGCAGTAACCATTAAAGAATGTTTAACGTGACAGGGATTGTATCTGCTATGTATTCATTTGTGAAGTATTTACTAAGTGCCATATGCTCATGGAGATGTATTAATGAATAAGATAAACATTTTCTATCCTCATGTAATTTATAATTTTATGGAGGATGCAAACAAGTATGTTGGTAACTATAGTACAGACATGGTACAGCTAAGACTAGCTTACTTCAACAGGGCCTACAGTGGAGCTCAAATATTTCTCAGCTTTCTTTTTATTCATTCCTCTCATGTTCATACTCTTTGACAAGATCAGTGAAAGAGCTGAAACTGTAAGAATAGCTATTTCAAACTTAATCTGTTCTCGTTAGACTCCTTCATTCTCTCCTGAATGCCTGTTATTTTAATGAAAGACTTTGACAAATCAGAAACAAGCTCCCTCACCTTTCACTGTCTTCTCAAAATGTCTTTCTTTTCATCCATCCTATCCTTCTTTGAGATCATATTATCATTCTTTTCCACAATTGACTTCTAGTTAGGTTCTTGATCCCAACTCATATGTATAGAAGGTCTGTGTTGCTTCCTCTGGCATTAGCAGCCTATACCAAGAGTGTGATAGGCTGCCATCTCTACTGTCAACGGCTAGTCTAGGAGTGGGGGTGTGGTAGGCAGACAGTTTAAAATGCCACAGTGTTCTCTTACCACAAAATAGCACCTTCTTCTTTAAGCCCTCCCCTGGTTAAGTTTTTTACTGGATTCCTGTATAAAAGTTGATCTAGACAACTTTTGCCAGGTTGTTATTGCCAGAATAAAAGAATACGATTTTTTTTTCATTGAAACTCTAGAGTACAACCTGATGTCATGAAATGGTGATGTCCTTTCATCAAAAGACTGCTATACCTGGAATTATAGTTGATAATCATAACCCAAATATCTTTTGGAGTAGATTTGCTCAACTCTGCATGTCCTCAGTAATCACAGTAATCAGCTATTAGAAATAGACTTTTATCATTAGAATACTTGTTTAAATATCAGAAGTGATTTAAACTTTCTGAGAATCAGAGTACATTTATGTACATTATTATAAAAATCAAATGCCAATAAAGTTCTCAATAAATAGCAATAAGTTGATGGCAGCTCACTCATACTGCAAGACTTTTCTTTGTTTGCTGATGAGAAATGGAAACAAGTGTGCTAATAATGCTGCAGCTTTGAATATTACAGATTTCTCTGGGTCCAGGAATGCAATCTGAGATTTTTAAGAGCTCTATGTGTTATGGTGACACAGCAATTTCTTTGTATAAAGCTTGTGACTCTTCTTCTTACATCTCTAAAATTCCCTCCCTCTCCCATTTTAGCAGCACCTGAAAAGAATTAGTCTTTTTGGAAATGTACCAAAAGCTTGCCTAAAACTATACTAACTTTTAGTTTTCTGAAGTCCAGGAAGATGACAACAAATACATTCTCTTTCAGTAAATTTGTAACATTTGTGGCACAGTCTGTGTGGTTTTTTTTTGCTTTTCCTTATGGTACGTTATATGTATTCACTATATACTAAATTGGTAGAGTTAAAAGCTACAAATAGCAGTATCTTGGAATATGAAGGTACAAAAAACAAAAGTATGTTTGGGAAAGAAAATTGTTTTCTTTCTCAGCTTTTTCCCTGAAAATGTTTTATGCCACAAAATTCAAAAAAGCGTAATATCTTCCCCCTACTTTTTTGTTTTTTACCTGTAATGGCACTGTTTGTTTTTGAGACAGAGTCTCACTCTATCACCCAGACTGGAGTTCAGTGGCACTGTGTCAGCTCACTGCAACCTCTGTCTCCTGGATTTAAACAATTCTCCTGCCTCAGCCTCCCAAGTAGCTGGGATTACAGGCACCCACCACCACGCCGGGCTAATTTTTATATTTTTAGTAGAGACAGGCTTCACCATGTTGGCCAGGCTGGTCTCAAACTCCTGACCTCAGGTGATCCACTCATCTCGGCCTCC